TCCCTGCGCGCGCGTACCACCACCTTCCTGCAACGGTAGACGCCTCTTGGGCACTCTGGCCCAGCTACAGTACTTCTTACACCCCCGCCGCCTCGCGTCTCGCACATTTAATCTTACGGTTCTTCCATCACCAAGACCGCACTGAAACGCCTCATTCCGCACCGCGTCGCCGCACCGCGTCGTGGTTCAATGCGGAGTTCCCAGAAGTTCTGGTGTTCCCGCTTCCCCCTCGCTTGGTCAGGAGTCCGAAACGTGGCGCTTGGGGATCCAAGGCGGTCCAAGTACGCGACTGCGGACAGGTCATGTGAGCGCGTTGGGGATGAGTTCACCAACGTCGAACGCCTTGGCACGACCCACCACCACCACATACCTATAACCTGACACTCAAGCGTGTAGCCGTATCCGTTCTCTGCATATTTATCATGGGCTAGTCGTTGACAGATTGAGCGCGCGCGTTCTTCTCGTGTCCACTAGCACTGCTCATCATATGGCAATGGATTGTCACCCGACTGACTCTGACTGACTCCAATGCCGACGGATATACTCCCCGCCGTAGATGCCTAGCTGTTCTCATCGGGAACTAAGGTTCTGGGACTTGAGTATGAACGTCGCATATTGAAGCCAAGGCCAATTTTAGACAACACGATCTCTCTTCTGGACGACGCGTCAAGCTACGAGCGACGACCGGCACCGACTCGTCCACATGGTGTTGGACAGAACGTACCGTACTCGTCAGAGCACTGCTGTTATCTGCGCTCCCTGCTGATGGCTGGCGCAGTATGTTGGGCATTACCTGAAGAAGGCAGAAGTTCACCGCATCGCGATAAATTTAGAATGAACATCTCTACTTTCGCATGATACGCCGGGTAAGCCGTCACGAAACATGTTCGTCATCCAGATGAACGCCTACATCAGAGCACCGCTGCCAGAGTTCGTTGCTCAATCTTTGCCATCGGGGCAGTGACTAAGACAACTTCCACAGTATATATGGAGGCATCTGCCCGCACCTTTTCGAACCCCCTTATACCGCTATTCATCAAAATGCAGGACTGGAACAGCTCGGACGAATCATACAGGAGCCGCTGTGCGTCACGTCGTGTCTTAAACTTATTGTGTTATTTTAACGATACTGCCAGTTCTCTCCATTAAGTTTCTCTTCATCCTCATGGGCGCCGCGCTGTACGTCCTATAGTCAAGTGCACTCGGACACTTTCTCTTATTGACACATCCTCTTACTGACGATGGCAGCTGGGAATATGCGAGGACGTTTGACTATGAATGGGGCGTCTATAGAGGTCGACGCAAGTACCTTTGGACTGTCTGGGTTAGCGATAGTCACGCTGTCTAACTGTGGCTAAAGTTGATGAGTGTATTAGCTGTACTCAGGATGTCGTATGCTGATTCTAGTGTGGCTGTTTGCCGTCTTCGCCTCGCAAAGCGGAGCTGTCGAGCGCCATTGCACGGTAAGCCAACTGTTATGACACGAGTCTTCCTTGATTGCAAAGTCACTCAACTCAAGCCATAGGCCATGTTTGTATTAACTAGTGTGAGGGATTATAAAAGCTCTTCCAATGCACTTTTACTGACATTGAACATTCGGGTCAGATCTGCCGTTACTTAGCGGTTAGCGGCGCATCTCTCATCATCGGTTTGCGTGTGTACGTCTCCGGCTCTTTTATCTCGAACCCAGACTCATTGCCATTAACTGACCAGGGTCGCTATCTGGGAACACAAAAGAATTATCTCTGTACTATCCTATAGCCTCATCGTCGCATGTTCTGCGCTGAACATGAGGAGTCTCTTTTTCGTAGGTCCCAGATCAGACATCTCATCAAAGCGCTGTCTCCTAACCCGTGCCAGCTTCGTGCAGGTTACGACCCGCAGTCTGGAAGCTGCGTACCTTTTGGGTCTTTCAACCATGTACCTTGCACCAGCGCAGTTCTTATTACCGACTTGGCTTTGATCACGCTTATGCTGGTGGGCTTGCTTCGCACGCAGGTGGCGAGTGAGTCTGGTCTTATCCGATACCTGTATCGTCAAGTACGTCTGAAGCATCCCTGGTACCGTGCCACACCCATTCATATAAGCACAGGGGATCGTATGGATGGCTCTGGCTGTCATTGCCGGAGTGCCTGCTGTTGTTGCAGCAGCTGTCAAGTTGAACGGTACGTCTGCTCGTCAAATACTATTAAGTTGTGCTCTGAGCGAACGTATATCGTAGCGGGCGTAATCATGGTGAGCGTGCATGCATGCATGCAGATGTATGCCGAAATCACTGTCGCGCTGACACTATTTCAGATGTTGAACTTTTTTGAAACGACCGTTCTGTACGTCGAAGAAGTCATCAGCATGCATACTTCTCTGACAAGCTCCGTAGATGTATTTGTGCCACTCGCATGTATCATGGCCTCACCGACTATACTCACAAGCCCTCAAGGTCAGTCTTACCCTTGCTTCTATGCGTATCGAGTACGGTAAGATCACTGACTATACGCATCAGCCTGAACGTGCCGGCCACTCTGCCGATCATACATGAGTCGCTACAGTGCAGATGAACTACGTGGGCGACGGGTGACGGGAGATACATAACCCCGGTTGGCGAAGTTGAACAATGCTCGGTTGTATGACTGCAATATTGTATCCATCTTCATCATCAATAAACAGACATCCGATGTTGCGCGGAACGGTAGCAGGCCACTAGTGTATGCGATACGTACCCGGTAACAATGTACCGAGAGCAAGATTTCATGTGGTACGAAGGTCGACCGGCTCGGGGACCAGTTGTACGACCGGTGCTGTACTGTCAGTGCTACGGATAGTTGTTCCGTCTCAGGTACTGATCGGCAGTGTTCGCTTGGTGAGTTGAGGCTCTGCTCGACCCGTTCGATTTCATGGCTTCCATCTTCATCATGATACTTACCGGCTGACAAGATTGTGATCATCCTGTTGCAATGTCAAGGAATGCCTGTGCATAGCGTTGTGCTCCATCACAGACCGACTGACTTTTTCCTAACACGCATTCGTAGACGGCGCGGGTCTTCGCTGCAACTGCCCTGTATGTCGTAAATATCTGATCATCGCTTCCCACTCTGACTAGTTACGAATTGTATCTGCGCAGCTCGGATGTGTTGCGGTCTTACCGACTCTACCCATGAGCCGAAAAGGTGCGCCCTATTTCCTGCACCAAGGTTGATAAGGGCGGAAACACCGACTCACGCCAGCCCGACCATCGCGTCGATTATGGAACGTATACGTTTCCATGAACCTCAAGCACTGTTTCAGCAGTCGCTCCGACGGAAAATATACCGCTGCCTGTTCTGTAGAGCGTAAAGACGCAAAACGTCTTCCATGAGCTTAAATGGTGCGTACGAACTGAGTCATGTGAGCGCGACAAGTCCATGACGTCACGCGTTTACCGCGCTCGCGTTGCTACCCCGCGACGCGTCGAAGGTCTCAGACAAACCAGCACGAACTACTACCAGTAGCCCAGCATTTTCCAAGCCTTCTCACATACTCATCTTGCACCCTATTTACCAGTCAGTCTGCTTGGTCATACCTGTGCTCGATGTACTCACCCCTCACCAGTAGCGCTACACGACCGACCCAGATGCCAGTGGATACCCTTCAGGTCGTGGATGCCGAACTGGCTGCAGCCGAAGCCAGGCTTCTAGACTTGAGGCGCCGGAAGAATGCCATGTCGCCCACCCACCATCTTCCTCCGGAAATACTTCTGCGCATCCTTTGCTTTGCGTCCGACGACGTCCTGAACGGCTACCGGCGCACGCTATGGGTCTCGCGCCTCCCTTCTTGGATTACCGTCACCATGGTCTGTCACCAATGGCGAGAAGTAGCGCTATCGGCTCCAACGTACTGGGCAGACATCTCGCTGCACACGCCGAGTTGGATGCGCGAGACCCTGGCTCGTTCGAAATCCGCGCTCATCCGACTTAACTACGTGTCGGGTTCCTACAAGGAATTCGTTCTAGAGCCTCTCAAGCAACTCGCGCGCGTCAGCGACCTTACCATCATGCAGGATAAACTCACGGGCTGGTACCTACCATTACTCCGCGATCAACCTGCGCCCAACCTGCGCATTCTGCGCATGGGCCCTCAGATATTCTACGACATACTTCGGGACACCCCTTGCTTTGATTTAGGCGACCAAACGCTCTTTGCGGGAGAGCTTTCTCACCTTCATACCCTTGATCTATCGATGCTCCTTTTATCGCCAAGATCACCGCTTTTCGCACCGCACCTCCGCTACTTGAGCTATACAAACGTTCCTGAAGACAAACGCATGTCTATGCGTGATCTCCTGGAGGCTTTATCACGCATGACCGAATTGGAGCATCTCCTGATTCACAACGCGTTACCTGTAATCCCGTTGCCAGAGCCGCCCGCAGAGAATGAGGGCGATGATACAAACGCTAGTGAGCGGGTCCCTCCCGCCCCCGTCACCAGTGTCTCTGGCGACCCTCTTTCCTTGCCCAAACTTTGCAA